GGAGTATAAATGGACCACAAGTTAACTATGAAAAGGAGAAGTAGTTGATTTAATTGAAGTTGATTAATGTATTAGAGAGGCAGGTAGGTGGCACAATGAATAGACCACCGGGTCTGGAGTCAGGAAGACCTGAGTTCAATGCTAGCCTCAGGCACTTATTAGCTGTGTGACTCTGGGCAAGTCACTTCACCCTGTTTGCCTCTATTTTCTCATCTGTAAAATGAGCTAGAGAAGGAAATGGCAAACCACTCCAGTATCTCTGCCAAGAAAACCCCAAATGGGGTCCCAGAGAGTCAGACATGACTGACACAACTGAACAACAGCAACAACAAGTGTACTAGTTGTCTGGATTCCTGTTATAGGTAAACCCAGGTGGATGCAAGTTTAAAATACTTTGCGACTCCTAATTACACCCTATTTTGAGATTTACTATTCCAGTTTTGCTGAGGAACAGACTGAGGCAAAGGCTTACCTGCAGTCACATCGCCAATTATAAGAAATCTTGCTTTGATTTAGAATATACTTAATGATCTTGTAGCACTACAGAATCTTCAGGCCAGATGTTAATCAAATTATTAGAACTTTAGAGGACTTAGGATTCTTGAAACCTGGTCATCTGTTGAAACCAGTAAACTTCCTTCTGTCTGACATGAATATTTTATGACATTGATATTTAATTTACTAGTCACCTGATACAGTTGTCAGACCTCTCCTTGACATTTGTTGAAGAGTGAATCTAGGCAAGAACCCATTTTTAAGCTTAATAGAGAGTATGGGAAAGACAGTGTTCTTTGGTTCAGGTAGTTTACATTAGATATCTGTAGTTTGCATCTACTTACTAAAATAAACAAATACTAATGTAAGCACCAAACAGAGCACTTTTTTTAAAAAAAAATAAGTTTGTATTATTATCTTTTGTTTTTTTAATATTACCATAATTTCCTCCAGCATTCTTCTCTCTTCCGCTTGCAGAGAGCCATCCTATATAACAGTAATTTTAAGACAAAAAAAAAAAGAAGAGAAAAAAATCAGCATAATTGATCAATACGTTGAAAAAGTCTGCAGATATGTGTAATGCACGGCACTTTTGGACCTCTCTATTGAGCAAAGGGTTGGAGTGGGGACATCTTCTCATGTCTTCTCCATCAAGCCATGCATGCTACAGTGTTTTTAGCCTTTCTAAAACATCAAAACATAGGATTATCTAAAGGAATTCTGTATTGCTTACTATTCCAATTAAATTTCTGCTGCATTTGGGCTAAAAGTAAAGCCAAACCCGTTCTGTAAGTAAAAGTATACCTTTATACTTATCAACTTACGGATAATTTACAGTGTACTCCTTTTTATGGTGAATAGTTGGAAAATGAAGTGCTCTAATTAGCTAAAAGTTGCAGTTCAATTTAACAAATAAATAAGAACTTAACTCATAATCTCTGTCTCCTCTCTACTTCATCCTTCACATTCAGCCAAAATAATCTTTAAGATGTATAGGTCTCTGATCATTTCTTCCTTACTCAAAAATCTTTAACAGCTCCCTAATTCTTTTCGGTCATGTCCAACTCTTCATGACCCAATTTGGGGTTTTCTTGGTAGATACTAGAGTGTTGTACCATTTTTTTCTCCAGCTTATTTTACAGATGAGGAAACTGAAGCAAACAGGGTTAAATGACTAGTAAGGTCATAATTAGGGTCTCATAACTAGTAAGTGTCTGAGTCCAGATTTGAACTTATGAAGATGAGTCTTCCTGACTCCAGGCCTAGCACTCTATCCACTGTGCCACCTAGCTGTCCATCTCCCTGATACCTACAGTATAAAATAGATTGTCCTTTAAAGCCTTCCACAATGTGATTTACCTGCTTTTCTAGCCTCCATACTGTTCTTCTTTTTTTATGCCGTATTCTAGCCAAACTAGACTGACAGCTTTAGTCTTGTTCTGTTCTCTCTCTAGCTCCATGGAGTCCTAAAGTCCATCTCTCTATGCCTGGAGTATACTTGCTCCACTTTTCTATTTGTTGAAGTTCTCCTTGACTCAGTTTATGTGCCCCCTTTTCCATGAGAAATGGGCAGGTAGGTGGTGCTGTATCTAGAGTCAGGAAGACCAGAGTTCAAATGTGCCATCAGACACTTAATAGCTATATGACCCTGGCCAAGTCACTTAACCCTGTTTGTCTCAGTTTCCTCATCTGTAAAATGAGCTGGGAAAGGAAATGGCAAATCACTCTAGTGTCTTTGCCAAGAAAAGCCCAAATGGAGTCACAAAGAGTTACAACTGAGCAGCAACAAACTTCTATGAGACTTTCTTGACCACCCCCCGCCAGCTCTCCCTCCTCAGATTTTCATAAAGTACTTGGTATGTATCTCTTCTTTGTCCGCCTAATATTCTGTATTGTCATCCTTGCTTCTTTATTGTCTCACTGTCATATTTGATTCTGAGCTTCTTTGCCTCTTTGTAAAAGATGCAACCAGATAGCCTAGTAGAGAGCTTGCTACATAAAAGGCACTTAACAAATGTTTGTTGGATCAAATTGCACACAGAACACCTTGTTCAGCCTCAGGGATGTTAGAAAGCGTCCACACGACTTCTGTCTAAATGGAACTTTCCATAGATGTATTAAGCTTTACTGTCTTAAAACTACACAAGGACTTTTTTCGGAATTCTGACTTCAAAGAATTAGAATAAAATAAAATAATATTTAGAATAAAACATACTTAAAATTGAGATTATGCCAGCTATTGCTAGAGTATTCCATGCGCTTAGTGTGGTATAAGTGTAAGTGCAACTGCTTTTCAAGCATTTGAGGTTACTTTATTTCCCAAGCAATATGTCAGTATTGGGAAGATAAGAGGAAAGAGAATTCACTAATGATGCCCAAAGAATGGCGAAGATATAGGGACCACCAGCTTCACAGATAGGTGGGGAAAAAGGTCAAAGAGGTTCTTTTGAGCAGTGGCAAAACCAGTTGTAATTAAGCAAGTATAATATTCATGTAACTGGCGAGAATCCCAATCTGGAGAGACTTATAAACATTAGGCTGTATCTAACTAGAAGATAAAGCAAAGTAAAGCATAGTTACATGTGTTAGATGTTTATATCTAGTCATGGAGTAGACTATTACTATGAATAGAAATCAGTTAAATTCAACAAGCATTTTAGTGCCTACTATGTGCCAGTCACTGTGAGATATAAGGATAAATCAAAAACAGTTCCTGCTGAGGGAGCTTACATTCTATTGAAATGATTTATGGAAATTTAGTGAATATAGTAGAACAATAGGTAATGGAGCACAGGGTGACCTGTCACTCAGGACTAACTTCCATTCTGTGGAAGACAACAAGTAAGGAATAAACGGTAACAACAAAACATCACTATGTACATGAGTAAATACAGAACTGTGGCACCTAGGGAAGGGAAGCACGTTTCTGTTGGAAATAGCAGAAAGGGTAATTGCCATTGGAATCAATTTGATTCAATTCACCAAATATTTATTAAACACCTGCTGTGTGCCAGGCACTATGTAGGTTCTCAGTGAACAAAGACAAAAATGAAAAAGTCTCTACCCTCAAGGAGACTGTTGAAGGAAACAACATGTACATGGAAAATTGAATATAATTTTCAAGTGGAAGGCAGTTGTCTGGGAGTGGGGGTGGGGTTAGGATAGGCTTCCTGTAAGAAGTTGCACTTGAGCTGATCTTCAACATAAAGTACAGATTGTATGAGCTGGAGGTGAAGTTAGAGTGATTTCCAGACATGGGGGAATAGTTTGTGTAAGCATGGAGATGGAATTTCAAGTACAGGGAACAGCACGATGGCCAATTTGGCTAGAACATAGACTATGTGACCAGAACTGAATTTTTTTTTTTGTCATAAGTTGGCATTTATTATTGAAGTTCAAGAACCAGTTATGAAGGGAGTGAGGTGGAACCCTAAGGGAGGGGAAGGAGGGAGGAGATAGGGAGATGAGAGCCTGTCATCAGTGTCTGCTCTAGACGAGGTTGATCCGGTTTTCTGAGCCTTGGTCCAGGGCACACAATGAAGCACACGATAAGATGAGGTTCCAGGGGCTACAGGTTTAGGAGAACTTCAAAGGGTGGCCAGAGTTACATATCCAACCAGCGGTGGGGGCTGGGATTCTCCTTGGATGAGCAGCACTGTTTCCTTTTAGGAACTGAAGCATAGTGATAAGTTCCTACCCACTTATTTCAGCTTTTATGAAACATTCTTGTAGTTAACGTCTTTGTGCTAAAGAATTCTTTCTTTAAAAGAAAGACCTCTAACTTCTTGTACTGTGCTTCTAGTTTCTTTGAATATGCATCCAACTTGTAAGGTACTTGTTCCAGAGCTGCTCCTTGCTCCTAAATTAAAGTGATCTGATCCAGATAAGGCTGAAGTGCTGCATGTTTCTGGTTTAAGTCCTTTAGGTTTCTGCTTATGTTTACTGCAATATCTTTCATTTCTAGATACTTCAGGCTAGTCAGTTTGTTCATATTTTCCAGAAGTTTGTAGTCTTCACTGGTGGCGGTCAACTCGCCTGTCAGGTGTGTGGCCATTTTGGAGAACATGACCTGGCACAGCCCCGTGATGTCCGCCTCGGTGGGCTCCGTGGCCTCCTCGGCCATCTCCATCACTGCCTCATCTAGGTTGGGGAAGGGAGGAAGGACAAAGGATGAAGGGAAAGATGGGAATGGGAGACCAGGGAAGGGAAAGGAAAGGGGAAGGGGGAGGAAGGGAGGGAAGGAGAGAAAGAAGGAGAGAAAAATGACCAGAGCTGATTCTTACCATCAGGCCAGGTAACTTCCAATCTAGTGGCAACTTATATATCCTCTAGTAGGCAAGTTGACTTAGGTATTAAAAACTGCTAACACAGACTGTAGGAAACAACCAGGTTGCTGCTAGCAATAGATGCATAGTAACAGGGAGAGCTGTCACCTACAACATCTATTGCAACTGCTTATACAGAAAGCAACAGGCAAATACAATATGCCCTGGTTTCCCCTGCCCTCCCAGCATCCAGTAGAAAGAATCTTTCTTTGACGATTTGAAGGTCTGTCAGGATTGTGCAGTGCCCAAGTCTTGTCATTTTATGATATTATAGATGTAAAAAATATAAAAAATTGAGCACAATCTGCATTGACCCTATTACCTATGAGATGTGACTATAAAGTAGAGAGAATGAATCAACCAGCCTCGTGTACAAATCTGTCATTATTCTCTAGATTTGCCTGCCAGTTTTTGGTTTTTAATTAACTCCTTGATATCATCTTGTTTGACATTTCACTTTTTTTCATAAAGGCAGAATTTTCGGGTTGCTTGGATAATAATAATCATTTGTTGTACATGGGTCACATCAAGCTGTTGTTGTTTATCATTTGTTCTTGAAGAGGACCATGACATCAGGAAGGTGCTGCCATGACTTGCAAGTGAATTGAATTTAAGTGAAGGAGGGCTGGGTAAAGCATCCCTTTCTCCTCCGGAGCCATCTAGGTCCAGTGACAAGATAAAGATCAGGGTGAATAGAGATGGCCATGGATGAACATCAAACTATATATGGCTTCACTGTCCCCCTCCACACACACACACACACACACACACACACACACACAAATTAAATACTCCTTCATCTTTTTCCACTGATGCCAGACTGTCATTTGGAAATTCTTAACTTACACAAAGGAAAAGCTAGAGATTGAAGGTATTGAGCTTGAATACGAAAGTCAAATTGAACCAATAGACAAAGGTGGTAATAAGATACATCAAGGATACTCCATAAAGACTGCTGTGCCTGAATGTATTAAGAGATTTACTAGCATCCTGAAGTGAAAGTTCAATGGAAGAACATATGTAAAATAATTAGCACCTACACAATACTAGTCTTAATGTATATACTTTTGGAAAAGGTTCATAACAGATTTGGAAAGTATACTAACAAGAACCTGTATAATATTAACAAAATCTAGCCCCTAGCACCCTAAAGCAGAGTGAAAGATGAGCACTTTGTCACCAAAGAAGAGGAAGAAGATTGATATATGTTCTCAGAGCTTGTGATAAACAAACTTACAGAAATAGTTTTGCCAGAAGAAGACATCATTTTACCAAGCAGTAGTAAAGGCTGATAACAGGTATATGGTATTGAGTTTCTTAAGTGTAACTGAAAGTAGTTTATTTCCAAATGGAGCCTTTGAAATGTCTAAGATTCAAGAGTGGAATCAAAAGTCTTCTCTGGCCAATATCCACATGGACTCAAAGCTTTGAACAAATGTTTGAGTTATGGAGATTTGTTTGTGGAAATGGGGTTTATGATGACATTTCAAGAGTAGGTCTTTGCTACCAAAAATTACAGAAGAGTTATCCTTCAAAAAACTTAAAGACTTGATAGTCAATTTAGAATATATAATGAAATGGTAGGAATTGTAACATATTATGGCAGGCTATAAAATTTTAGCATCTATTGAAAATCTGGTGTTTATACTACACATCAGAAGCTAGCTGTGCTTCAATGGACTGACAGATAACAATTCCTTATACTACAAATATAACCTTAAAATAGCCTAGAAAAATTAATAAACTGTACCAGAACTGGAACATTATCACAAATTGAACCATTGTCCACAATATCCTACTTTGAAAATTGATCTAAAAGACTTAAGAATGATATTCTTAATAGATGTCACTAGCTCAGATATGCACAATCACCAAGGTACATGGAACAAAAAGCTTTCAAAATATAGATCAACAGGAAAGAGGAAAATTATGTAGGTACATAATATCTCTGTTATCTGGTCAGCTACTTGGGTTGTGAGAAGGTGCTCTCAGTGCACCTGGAAAGGATGAGCTTACAAACTAATTTTTTTTTCTGCAAAAAAGCAGTATTTTCCTCTACCTGTAATACCAGATAGAACATTTAGTATAAAAGAATAATAGTAGAATAGCAACTTATCCCAGTACTTTCTGTACCCATTAAAAAAGAAAAGGCGATTCCAATCATGATGATCAACACCATCGTTATCACTGACTTTTATTTTGTGCTTTAAGGTTTGTGAAGTGCTTCATATAAATTATCATCTCTTTGGACCCTCACCGCAATCCTGTTAGGTATTGCAGGTATTATTGTCCCCATTTTATAGATGGAGAAATCAGAGCTTAGGGAGATTGGAATAGACTTGCCCAGGGTCACAAAACTAGGAAGCACCAGAGACAGCAGTCAAACCCAGGCCTTTCCATTTACTTTGGTAGATTGTTTAAATTTCAGAAAAAGGGGAATATGCTGTGTTGAGATATTCACCTAAAAGGTATTGGTTCAAACAGTCTAAGTGTTTAGAAAAAGTTTTTACTAATAGTGCGATAATCTTTGCAAAATGTTTTCAAAGCAATTTTCCTTTACTGTATGATATCTATCTTTTCTTAATACTTTCTATTTAATTTAAAATATAATAATAATAATAATAGCTAACATTTATATAGCACTTACCATATACTAGACACTATGCTAAGTGCTTTACAATTACTATCACATTTGATCTTCAAAACAACCCTGAAAGGTAGGTGCTATTATCCCTATTTATAGATGAGGAAACTGAGGCAAACAGAGGTTAAGTGATTTGCCCTGACTTATGCAGCTACTAAGTGCCTAAGGCTATATTTGAATTCAAGTCCTCTTGAGTCCAGGACTGGCATTCTATTCATTGCGCCACCTAGCTACAGAATTATAAAATTTCAGCACTGTAAGCCTCCAGCAGCCATCCAGACCATCTCATGCCTGAAAAAGAATGCCCATTAATAATAGCTCACTGTAGCTATTCTTGTGGCACTTTAAGATTTGCAAAGTGCTTTATATATATTTAATCCAAACAACCCTGTATTAGGTGCTCTTATTATCACCATTTTACAGTTTAAGAAAGAGTAAATGATGTGCTCATCTCATAAATATTTAAGGTAGAACGCAAGACCAGATCTTCCTGACAGTCTAGTGTTCTTTCCATTGTACCATACTGTTATATACCAGACTTCCTTTGCTTGAAACTTCCATGGAGGAGGAACCCTTTATTTCCTGAAGGCAGCCTGGCCCACTCCTTCTGTTCAATTTTCAGCCCAATTCATCCATTTGAACTGTCTGCCACAGATATTTGTATGGATATATGGAATCTATACACTGTCCATCTAACTATGTCATAATCTGAACAGTAGATATTCTTCCTCCATTTGGTCTTTCCTGTGTGGATGGTCAAGATAAACTCTTTTAAGTGGTCACAAATCCCTTCCAGAATATTCTGCATTATTGTAGGGCTTGATGCAACCAGCATAATGTCATCTGCACACAGAAACATCTAGAGTTCCTCACCATTCACAAGAAATTTTCTTCATCTTGGAGTCTTTGTTGGTTCTCCTCCATCATAGAAATAAATGGCATTGGTGAACATGTATCTTCCTGCTTTATACCTCTCCTAATGTTTAGGATCAGAGGTCAGTGAACAAAGTTATTTTTGTTGTTTTATTTTTCAGTGAATTTTTAATGGTTTTTTTGGTGCGTGGATAGCAGAAACCTTATGGGAAGAGAGCCTTTAAGGCAGCATTTTGGCTTTCTGAATCTACAAACAGTAAGCATGGTGGAATCTTATCTTCTCTGTATCATTCAGTTAATTTTGAAAGGCTAAAGAATGTAACTTGCAAAAGCCTACCTGTTCTTTATTAATAGTACACTTGATTCATGTATAGATGGGAAGGTAAGCATATGGATTAGTAGATATTGACATTTTTCAATATTAATCACCAAGCAATTTTGCCTAATTTCTTCAGATACCTTGTAAAGTGATCCTTTAATGCCCTTGTAATGTCACTTCCCTTGTGAATTTCTTCTGTTTACATTTAATCCAACCTATTTTCCCCCTCTTTCCTTTAGTACCCTTTCTACCTCCTCTATAAGCGTACCTAGGACTATGATGTGATATGAGGGTCCAAATGTGGGGGTTCTACTGTCCTTGGTAATAACAATTTATCTTAAAAATCTTTGCAAATCTTCTGTTTTTCTTTCGTATGTTTCCTCCATCCATTTTCATCTTCATGTGTCCTCAGGATGACTTTGCTTAGTTGGATATCTGGCCAGCTTTCTTTAAAATGATTTTATCCTCCACTTCTCTCTGCTTTATGAGGCAATACTACTCAGTCATCTATCATCCTTCAACTTAAGATTTTACAAAGGATTTTATATTATAAACTGGTCTTGTCTTTGGCCATTGTCTCTCTCTACTTGGCAAGCAAGTTAAGCATTTGCTGACTAAGACACTTTTTGACTGGAGTGAAAAGGAGTAATGTAATATATAATACACTTGGAAAGGTAGGTTGAAGCATGGTTGTAAAGGGCTTTTAGTGCCAAACAAAGGAATTTGTATCTAAGAGGTAATCGGTTACAACTCTAGACATTCTGATGATTACAACACACCTTGATAGGGCAAACTAAAGCTTTTTCCTGATCCTAGTTTAAGGTTCTTGTAGTGATAGGATATCATTTTTTATTCCCCTGGTAAACTTATAAAACATTATATAAATATAAATACAGATTATTTATTAAATTATTATTTATTTATTATACTATTAAAGCAGTATAGTGATATCAGATTAGGAC